TGGCTTTTCTGGGGCTGAGAGTGTGCATGCATATATTTTTTTTAAAAATTATTTTTTAAAATTATTTATTTATTTATTTATTTTTGGTGCTTCGGCCCCCCAGTTGTCTGAGGGACAGCAACCTGGCCCCCGGCTCAAAAAAGTTGCCTACCCCTGGTCTATGCAGTCAAAGGCTTTGCTATAGTCTATAAAGCACATGCTGATTTTCTTTTGGAATTCCCTGGTGTGCTCCATTAGCTATCATATATTTGCAATGTAATCCCTAGTGCGTCTTGCTTTCCTGAACCCCACTTGGACCTCTGGGATCTGTCTTTCCTATGGAGTCTATGTTGCAGAATTTTGAGCATGATTTTGCTTGCGTGGTAGATAGTGCTATGGTCCTATAGTTGTTGCAATCTCTTGTGTCTCCCATTTTGTGAATGGGGATGTATATTGACTGCTTCCAATCTGTTGGCCATCGTTTTGTTTTCCATATCTGTTGACCTTTGTTGGTTAGCTGACCAGCATTCCTCAAGTCCAGACTTGAACTGGAGATTTTACTCTATCATGAAGACAGGTTGCTGTAAGGATGGGGTCAGACCATTTTATTTGGCCCATGTAGATGAGCCGCATGAGGGTAGTAACACGTTCCCATTCAGGTTTTGCAGCAACTAGTATAGAGCAAGCAGATGTGTAGCTGGGAGGGGGTAGGAAATGAGGATCATGCCCACTCAAATAAGAATGAGGTGCTCCAAAATGAATTTTTCTTTCACTCCCCAAATTTATAGCATTCCAATAATTTAAAACTTCAGCTGCATATTTAGAAACACAGTTTAGGCATCCAAAGAAAGAGGCAGGCAAAATTGCCAAGAGAATGAGCACACAGCATATATGAGTTCCAGGTGCATAACTTCCAACTGTCTCAATTTGACAGGAATTTGTCCTCATTAATCCTCTGTAGTCTTACTTTTTCAATTGCTTTAAAAATGTCCTAGTTTCTCTCCTCTTCCCATTCCCCCCTTTGTCCTCAGCTTACTCCAGTTGCTCCAAATTGAGTTCAAAGAGTACAAATAATTCACACTCAGTTAATTCACCATGGTGGAGAGGGGAGGAAGGGGTGAAGCCTTCCCTTTCCCAGTAGGATTTGGCAAAAGCAAACAGCTGCAGCCCCTCCTAATTTGTGTGCTCGCAATCATTTATAATTTCTACCAAATTCACC